GGCATGATCTGGTCCATGGGGTCGCAAAGAGTCGGACTCAACTGTGCGACTGAACAACAACAAAAAATGTCTGAACAGATGACACTACCCTAAACAGAATCAGATGATTGGTTTGTGAAGCCCCAGTACTTCTCCTCTGACTGGCAGCCTCTCTTGCAAGGTCTCAGGCAGTGATCTTGGCTTTTCTAAACTTGCTTCTTGGGATCCTTAGTAACTGGAGAGGCTGGTGATCAAACCAGAGACCCTCAGCCTGCAGGTTATATGCTTTGTCACTGAGCACATGGGTTATGGCTTGTCTGAAAACAGGCCATTGGGTTCACAGTATTGCACTTTGGAATGTACACTTAATAATTTCTGGCATTTCCACATAACAAATACTGATGATGATTGTGTATTTTGGACCTGCTCTTCTGTTAAAGCTTCCTGAAACCAGATTTTTAGGAAGGATTGAAGAGATGACGGGTTGCAAAATCCCGTTTTGACCCAAAAATAGTCCTCTTGAGCTATTCTAAAAGATGCTGCCGCAAATGATGAGTTGGAATCATTTAACAGCCAAAAACAACAAAAAAGTTTCATATTAGAAATTTTCAATACCTCTGCAGTTAACAGATTGGTATGTATATATTTGGAATGTGGCATTCTTAATTAACGTTTACTTTAGGAAGTGTACTTTCTCTGTTTTGTTTAATACAGTCAGTGGGTGGGATAGTTCCATACAGGGAATTGCATCCTATCTAAAATTTCCACCCATGCAAGAGGTGGAGGTGTATTTTTACCCATTCCTCTGTCCCTTGGCAGACCTCTGATTCCCCCTGCCCAGAAAAAAACACCATTTCAGTGGGCATTTAGGGCTATTGTGGGGTCAGGGGAGGTAGAGAAGTTGTGTTTCTGCCAATGGAAATCCTTCCTCCTGTGGAAATCGAAGGTGGGTTCCAAGTGATTGTATTTTATTGTTTTGCTGCTGCTTTGTTGTAACTGGCAGTGGCCTTTGGCCATTCTCACCGTTTTACATTCTTCTCCGAATTGACATATTGCAAGGAAGCAAGGGGACTCTCTTCCAAACAGATTCACTGTGAAAGATGATTTTATTTATAGCACACTGGTTGCGTAACCTTACAGATTTTGTCTCTCTTGTACAGATGAAAGATTTGTTTGGTTTTGCTCTCCTTTTTATGGTTGTAATAAAAAAGTAGAATTAATAAAAGGAAACCATGTTCAATTTCATGTCCTGATTTGAAAACTCATAAGGGAAGAGTACCTGACCTGTTAGGGGTGGCGGCGAGGAAAACAAAAGGCTAAATGCTCTGTTGGAAACAGAAATTGCAGCAGTAAAAACTGACAAGTGTACTGTGACAAGCTGTTTCTATCTTCTTCTTTTTTTTTGCAAATTTTTATTAATTTATATACAGAAAGGGAAGAAGGGGAAAGGGAGGTAGAAAAGAAAAGTACAGAAATATTTAAAAATTCCAGTTTCTATCAACTGAGGAGACCTGTGCAGCCTTCTACGATTTTGGGGGAACCAGGCTTATTTTAAACTATAAACCTTCCCCTCAGTTACCAGGTGTTCTAAAGGTGGCAAGTGCCTAGGCTTTGGGATCGCTGCTGTGAGGTAAGTTTTGTGGTGCACAAATGGAACATGCAGGTCACTGAGGCAGAAATCGTATATTAACAACAGAGAAGATTTATTTACTTAAAAATAGGTTTCCAGGAACAGATCAGCAGCACAGGCCTCCAGATAGTCAGAAGAGAAACCTGGCTGAGGCTCATTAATTTAAAGAGTAGTTTCAATTTTTGTTGTTGTTCAGTCGCAAAGTCGACTTCAATTAGGAGTGTGCAAAAATTTTGGTATTTTTTGGGTTCAGGTATATTGAACCTGAAAACCTTCAGTATTTCCCAATATTCCTGAATCCCAATACTGGTATGGTATTCGGATTCGGTAAACATTCAGGATTGCCAATTTCCCCCCGGCTCCATTATAGTCTATGGAGGACCATTATAGTCAATTGTCCCCATAGGCTATGATGGAGAATTGATCCGGGGGTATCTGGGGCTCTGGGCCCCCATGTTTTTTGAGATAAAGGCACCAAATTTGCAGCATAGCGGCTGGTGCCTCTCCTAAAAAAAACCAAGTTTCAAAGAGATTGAACCAGGGGGTCCAATTCTATGGGCCCAGAAGATGGTGTCCCCATCCACCATTGTTTCTAATGGGAGGAGGCGTTTAAAGGATCACAGTCCCTTTAAATGCCTTCTTCAAGCCATGTGACTCCACTTTAAGAATTCAGAGGCATTTAAAGGGCTTATAATCCCTTTAAACACCTTCTCCAAGCGGCAAGTTCACCTGGAAGGCATTTAAAGGGATTGAGAGCTCTTTGACTGCGGCTATCTGGGAGTCCTGAAAAATCCTGAATATTTTCAGGATTTTTTGGGGTGGCCATTTTTGGATAGCCGAATCAGTAGCCCACTAGAAAATTGTCTGAAAAAAATACCTGAAACATACCAATAAGGAATTTTTCGAGTACTTTTTCGACTCTGTTTATATCGAGCGCACCCCCCTAAGTTTCAGTTTTCTTTAATACTTTCAAGCATAAATAGGCTTTCACCCATTAGCCACTAGGCTGAATCTTCACATGCACACAGGGTTCCACCCACACCAGCCCGCCCTCTCCCAAGAGTCAAGACTAAACGGCACCAGGTCAGCTCATTGCCAGAGGCAACAGGCCTAACAATTGGGTACTCTTCTCCCTGTCAGAAGTAGAGCCAAACCACTCTGCTAACATTACCAAGCAGATAAATTCAGGTGAGGTAGCAGCAGAGCAGAGTCTGAGTCCAGTGGCACCTTTGTTGGTCTTAAAGTTTTATTCAATAAAATAAAATAAAAAGACCAACTTTGTTGGTCTTAAAGGTGCCACTGGACTTGAACTTTTGTTCTATTACCAAGCAGAGCTACCCTTCACTCTGTCTGCTCTTCTGAGCCAGACCTGAGCTCTCCTTGCTCTCTCCCTGAGACAGAACCGAACTCAACTCCTCCTGTGTTTCCCTCCAACATTCCGTCCCCTTTCTCAAAGGCGATTGGATGCTGGAGCAGCACTCCCATACGCTCAAGTGAGTGGTGTTTTGCCCTTCAGGGGCGAGACAGCCTTCTGTCTGTCACATGTATACCTTAACAGCCCTTCAAATCAAAGGCTGGTACACAAGCCTGTGGTTACCTTTATGGCTTGGCCCTGCTCCATTTCCTTTAGCCACAGGCCCACAACATTTGGCCGAGCTTTGTAGCTTTCTATTTTTCTTGTCGCCAACAGGATTTGGCTTTCACACTCTCTTCTTCAAAGCGGCTACACAAATCTCTCACTGGCTGATGGGGGGGAGGGGTTTCAATGGAGAAGCAGCAGACCATGGTTGGAGAGGGGGGCCCCTTCTAATCTGCGGTGCTGCGCTGTAGTACAACATACAAAAAGGTCTGTTCTCCCTTTGGAGAGTGCTTGAGACATTCCCTGCTGGGATTGTCACCCTGGGCAGTGACCATATTTGGGGCCCACTGCCCGTGGCCATAGATGGCTAGGAGTTCCTCACATGAAGCTTGAGAAGAACTGTTGGTGTCTAAGGCTGCTTTTACCACCCATTTGCTTGTGTGTGATGTAATTTTTTCTTTCTGCTTGATGGTACATACAACCCCACTGTTCTAAGGTGTGAGAGCTATCTTTGCTCATCTCTGCGGGTTCTTTACTGGGCTGGGGTAAGGAGCCCAGGTATGGAAGCGCTTGTAGACAGAAGACCACAAAACAGTTTAAAGGCCCGAATATCCCCTCGCTGGGCTTGTTCTGCTGTTTTCTTTTTACCAGCCTCTCCCGCTTCACTGTCACCTCAGAACATCAGTTCTTCAGATTGTGGCTCCTTGCGTTTCTCCCTTGGCACAGCTCGGCCGAACAGTGGAAATCTGGATTTGTGAAGCAGCTTGCTCATTGCAGAAAGTGTCTGCCCCTCCCACCCTGACATGCGAATACTATTCCAGAGCTCCTTTTCAATCGGTTAACTTTGATCATCTCGGTTTTTACACAGTGGAAGAATCGGATATCATCGATCTTGAGAAACGGTATTGGCTCCTGAAAGCTCAATCGAGAACGGGGCGTTTTGATCTGGAAACATTCGGTCCTCTGGTTTCTCCTCCCATTCATCCATCTCTGGGCGAAGGTATGAAAAAGTCGTGGTTCTCTAAATTTCGCAAAGTTTTGGTGGGTGAGTAATTGGTGGAGGATGTGTCATTAAAAAGGAGTTGCAGTTCAGGGGAGCTGCTGCCAGAGGGCTGGCCAAGGACGGAATAACTCACCATTTTTTGGAATGTGGGAAATATGGAGGACTGACAGTGATAAAGACGATCCATTCTCCGGAGTGACTCTTCTATGCAACTTGTTTTGCTCCCTCTCCGAGTTCTTTCATTCTACTGTATGCAAGAGGACAGATTATCTCCTATAAATGATTGGAAGTTTTGTTGGGAAGGGACTGCTGGATGCTTGATAGGTGTTTTTGCTGCCCTGGTTTTCTGTTAATGTGTTCTGATTTGGAGGGGGGTGGGCGTGGACGTTTCAAGCTTGGTGTTTAGTCAGCCCTTAGAATCAGGCTGAATGTGGGACATGAGCGCACCTTTTTTGCTTTTGGTGTTGAGCCAAACACTTGCCAACACTTCTGTCTTTTGCAGGTCTGTTCAATGCCTTTGATGAAAACCGTGACAACCACATAGATTTCAAGGAAATCTCCTGCGGACTGTCGGCCTGCTGCAGGGGACCGCTGGCAGAAAGGCAAAAACGTGAGTGTGCGCAGCAAGACTGCTCAGGGCCTCTTCACACACCATACATCTAGGGTTGTACCTGAGTTGTGTTAATCCTTACAAGTCACTCCACACCTAGACACCACCTCTCCCTTCACCAGTTAAGGCCATCTTCTTGGGATCCTGAATCCAAGAAGCAGGACCTTTCCAGTGCCGGTCCCATGGCTGTGGAGAAGCTTCCCAGAGGAAGTTGGCCAGAACACACCTCTTAAGCCGGGTCTGTGTTCCCTCTAAGCTGAGTTAGTGTGAGCTAGCTCACAGTTTCTTAGCCTCCGGCTCACACATTTTCATCTCAGCTCAGGAAGGATGGCTCCAGAGCAAACTAATTTATGCAGCAGCCAAATCACTTGCTCATGACTTTAATTCTAGTAGCTCACAAAGTAGAATTTTTGCTCACAGGACTCCACAGCTTAGAGGGAGCATTGGACTCTGCACATCTCTCAGAATGAGGTGGATGGATCCTGAGGTGCTAGAGTGGACTGTACCACCTCAGTCTGCCTGTGAAGAAAGGTGTGAATAAACCCCTGTAAGTAAAAACCAGCACACTGGGAAGAAAAAACTTGCTCTTTGCTGTGCTATTTTTCCTTCTTGGAAGGATGCTTTTGCATAGGGAAGCATTCAGCAACTGCTTTCCTTGCTGCAGGATTCTGCTGTTTCATTCTGTTGCCTGGACATCTTCAGACTTGCAGAAACACTTGCTGACATCCTCAGACTTGCAGAAACACAGCCCTTCCCTCTGCCTCAGGATTCCGCCTCAGACTTGCAGAAACACTTGCTGACTGAAGCGGTACAGCCCTTCCCTCTGCCTCAGGATTCCGCGGTTTGATTCTGTTGCCTGGACATTCTCAGGCTTTCAGGAGCACTTGCTGGAGGAATTCATTGATGAGGGTTATTAGCTGGCTGTGCTGTTTCCATAGCTTTATTGGTGTTGATTGGTTTTGTGGCATTTTAGCTAATTGATAAATTGGAAGTACTCCACTTAGAGAAATGGGATAAAGGCATTGAACGGGGCTGCATGTGAATGCCACCAACATGCATTTGGAGTAGTATGCATTGCACATCTTTGAAGAGGTAGAACTGGCTCCAGCCTCCTGTTGCTGAACATACATTCAGTGGCAAATCCACTGACTGCCCTGCCCAATATCTGAAGCAGCGCTTGGCTTTCTTGTGAAAAAGAATAGTTCAATCTGCTTTTATATATATATTAAAAGCTATCTTATTTAGTTCTCTCTACCCTTCCATCGCTTAAGGGCAGAGCACTCAAGAAAATGTAGTCTTGTATAGCATTTTAATATAAGGGCTTTTTAATACTGATTCCTAATCAAGCCTGGGCTCTATTAATTCGATATATTATTGCGATTTACTTTCTCATTTTTGCCAGTTACGATCAGTTCTTCATACAGGGCTGCCTTGTTTGTTGGTTGCCGTGTGTACGCCTGTGTGTGTGTGTTTGGTTGGATTTTAATTTTCCCCTGATAAAATATTCATGAACACAAACTGTTTGCATCATTTCATGATGCTGATGCCTGAGCTCATGTATATTTAGAATAGGAGATGTTTCTGTGCTGGAAATACAAATGTTTGCCTTTTTAGACATTTAGAGCGAAATGGCATATTTCATTTTCTCTTGTTCTCTCTCAGCATCTCCCCTCCATTTGCCAAATAGCTTAATTCTCCAAGGCCCTTCACAGGAGCTGCTCTTCAGAAATGCCTGTCTGTGTCTCTCTCTGATGATCCCTCATTTTTATGTAAAACCCTTGCATATAGCCCTTTCTGTCCATGAAGGGGTTAACCACAGGGTAAAACAACAAGCAGTCAAAGCTCAGGCAGACAACAGGAAAAGAATCCTCCCAGTAAGGAACCAAAAGCCCTGTATGGATTATAAATAGGGTGTGTGTGCTTCAGAAAGCGTTGTTTTAATTCCCGCATGCAAAGGGCAAGAGTGTCGGTTTTGTTAAACATTGAGAGTATGCCATCAAAAAGTTGCGCCAGGAAAAAATTCTGTTTTAATAAATACTGGGAAAATATCAGCACACCCCAAAGCGAGCGAAAATTATAGTGATGTCCTTTCCCAAATTACAAAATGGGTGCTGCAAGAGCCAGAAGTGGCAGGAAGCACTCTCTTAACTGGTCCACAGCGCACTGTTCCTTTAACCTTTAAAAGGCCCACTCTTTCAGTGGGTGGTAGACCCAGACTCCACAGACCTGCAGAAAGGCCTCCCAACCAGATTCCGGATATTTCCGATATTTAATTAGGAATGAAATGCCAGAACTGGGAAATACTGGCAGCGCCTTGCTGATCCGATCCCAGACATTGGGTGGCAATAGCCAATCGATGGTGGTGGAAAGTGCCGTCAAGTCGCACCCAACTTATGGTGTCCCCATAGCGATGAGCAGAGGTGGACTGCTATTGTCTGCCTTTGCGGAGCAACCCTGGGCTTAGTGGCGGCTCGCCCAGGCCCGTGAGCAGCTAGTGCAAGGGAGGGAACAGAAGACGGCTGGGGGGGGGGAGTGGATGGAGTCACTAGTATTGTGTCTTCAGAATGGCAGAACAACCTTGTCTGCAGCAGGAAGCAAGCAGCATGGGAGTATATGCCCAGTCCTTCACCGCTGGCTCTCCAGTCTGCACATATAGATTTTCCTTTGCAATGGGGCCTTGCAGTGAGGATTACCAGCTGCTGTCCTTTATACAGTTTATATCTCCGGTACCTGGTATTGCATTCATGGCACACATGGCCCGGCCCGACAAAGTGAAATTTATGTCAGATAACGGCCCTCGTTACAAATGAGTTCGACACCTCTGCCATAGAGTTTTCAAGGCAAAAGAGGTTCAGAGGCGGTTGGCCATTGCTTGCTTCTGCATAGCGACTCTGGACTTCCTTGGTGGTCTCCCATCCTGTTGAGATCAGGCTAGCCCGGGATTCCCGAGGGAGTGGCTTCTCCCCGGTGGCCCTCCCTGTGGACTTTCTCCAAGAGGATCACATCTTTGTGAGTCTAAACAAGTGACCACAAGGAGCAGCAGTTCCTCAGTGCTGACCCTCCATCCTTGGGAGCTAGGCTTGTTGGGTTCATTGCTTGTTGGGTTTTAGATTGAAGGCCAAAGGTGTGCTCTGTGTGTGTTGGTTAGTTTTTAGTTTCAGAACTAGCTGCTAGCTGGCATCCACCACTGCAGAATGGTGCAGATGCTTTAATTATGCTGATTTTTAAGCGGGTCATATTTTATTGCTCTGCTTGGATTTTATTGGTTTAGAGTGATAATACTGGCTGTCTTCGGGCATATAAATTAAAAAAAATATCGGCATGGATCTTATTTCACAAGTGGAGCAGCTCTTGAAGGAGTGAACTTTCCGTTCCACTTCCTTCCTGCTGCAACCGGCTGTGCCCCCTGAATTATTGGCCCTGGGGCTGATGAACACCTGGGGGCAAAGTGGGGAGCAATTGGCAATGCCGTATGTAGGATCCAGGCTTGTGTTGGCCCTCTGTCCTTATGGATGCCCCCGTGCTATGGTCCGTACCCTCTTTCTGGACCATCCCTCTCTTTTCCCCCTAGATAGGGACCTGGGAAGAATTTTTTCCTGCATCCATAACCCATATTTGCTTTCCCAAATCCACTGTGGTCCTTGCTGTGCCACAGAGAAGCAGCAGCAGCAGCGGGCACTGAGACTTCAAAGGTCTTCAGTCTGTTGTCCAATGGATGTACAAGCCCTCCTGATTCTCACAATCAATAAGAAATAGCTGGTTTAAGCTATTTAATTTTGCATTACTTTGTGGATTTACATATTAGAAGTGGTGGTTGAATTTCTGATCAGCCCTCAGGTGGGAAGAGAGAAAATAAAATCTAAATGCATTGGCCGATGAATGATTAAATACCTTGTTTATGCATCGGCCGTAGCAACTGGCCGGTAAACACTTGGCATACCTACAGCAAAGCTCCCTGTCTGTGAGCAGCCAGGAGTCCGATGTGAATGGATGTGGCCCACGATAAGGAATCAAGCGCTGGAAACACAGCATTGCTGTCAGTGCTATGTCAGTTGTACCATTTAAATAAAAATCTGCAACTGTTATGTTAAAAATGAAACGTGTCACTCGGCTTTAACATCAGATTGTGAACACGGCAGGGGTAGCCACGATTAGAATATTTGTCAGATGATCTTGGATGGATACCTGGAATTAGTTTGGGACCTGTTTCAGGATAATCCTGGAGTCCAAAACCCAGTCTGGCCTGAATGGCCTTGAATGACCTCGGCTGTGTTATATTTGCAATGTCCAGCAGTGGATGAAAACACCAGCTTGTAGTTGGTCCTGAAGCAAGGATGCCCCAACATGGCCAGATGCCTGCCAGCACATAACGACAATGCTTTTATGTAGCACTTTCAGGTGCTTCAGATATATGATGTGTCACAGGAGCTCGACGACGACCCTTCGCTGTCTTCGTCGCTCGAGCTCCCAATACTGCCCAACTCAGCCACTTTGTCTCGCCCCTCCCTTCTTGCCCCAGGAGTGTAGGCCTCAGACACCTGGACGGAGGAGGGAGGTTACACCACCTTCCCCACCGACCCGTCCCTGCTGGTTGGAGCTCTCTCTCTCTCTGGCTCTGCTCCTCAACCAGGAATCATCCCCGGCCGTCTCCTCTCCCTCCCTTATATCCTCCCCTCCCGGTTCCCAGCGTGCCCCGCTCCTCCCGGTGCTGACTGCCCCCCTTGGCCCCGCCCCCATACAAAGCTGACGACGCGGCTCCCAGGGTGTGGCTCCTTCGCCTCCCATCCCGTCCGCTCTAGGTCGCTGTCCTCGGCAGCGTGGGCATGCCCTCTCCTGTGGCTCCTTCCCTCCCTGTTGCGTCCTCCCTCCTGCCCGGGCACCTGTCCAAAGCCGGGGACTGGGGCGTCGCCTCCCATCCCGCGGCCGTCGTCTCTCCCCCGGCTTCTGCTTGTCACCGCGGCATCCTTTCTGGCCCCGTCGACCCGGGCCCTCCCCGTGTGTGTGTGGGGGGGTGACGAGAGCAGCGTCTCGGCCCGGCCTGCGGCCCCCGCGGCTCAGCCCTTCGCCCCGGTGAGTGCTTGGGGAGCCGCCGTCTGTCGCCCCGGCTCCGTGGGGAAAGGGCTTTCTCCTGCTGTGGGGGGGCTGGGAGTCCCGTCCTCGGGACATGATGTTACCTCATGTGATCCTTACAACAACTCTGTAAGGAAGGTAGGTCTTAGTGTCATGATGTTGCAGACAGGCGGAGCCTGAGAGATTCCAGTTTGCCTAAGGTGAGTTCATGTCAGAGGCAAGATCCAAACCAAGAATGTCCTCAGTTTCATAGCCAGTGTGCTACGGCAGAGTTTTGCACATGGTAAAGGTATCCTTTATTTTATTCTTAAGATGCCCAAGATCTGTTTCTTCATTTTAGCATATCGCTTTCAAGGAAGTTTCCAGCAATAAAATGGACACCCAGCCCCCCAGGAATACTTGAACTATCCTGAAACCAATACAATGCAACATGGTCGCATCTAGTCTTAGTAGAGATGAATCCCAGGTTGCGTACAATATGGTTGAACTGCTGCTGTGCCTTAACATCTGCCCCAAAGATTCATACTTAAAAACCTGAAGAACCCAGATCCATTTGTAAGGACATGATGCACACCACGGAAGTTGAGTTGACTCCATGTGGCATTGAACATTCTCCTGCTGTGACTGAGATCCAGCCGTAGACATGCTGCAGCACACTGTGAATAACCTTATTTCTCCCTCTCTCTCAGTTTGCTTCAAGGTTTTCGATGTGGATCGTGACGGGGTTTTATCTCGTGTCGAGCTCGAAGAAATGGTGGTTGCTCTTTTGGAAGTCTGGAAGGATAATCGTACAGATGACATTCCTGTAAGCTACATTCAAAGTCACTTGCCTTTATGTGGAAAGTATCTTGTACTGTAAGATGTCACACTGTGGTTGCAGCCTGATTGTTTGAGGCTTGTAAACTGGCAGATTATCCAGATAGTTTCAGTAGGGTAGCTGTGTAGAAGAGCTGGACTCAAGTCTAGTAACACCTTGAAGACCAACAAGAATTTTGGGATATAAGCTTTTGAGATTCAAAGCTCAGTTTGTCAGATATGAAGGAGCTTTGACTCTTGAAAACTTATATCCCAAAAATCTTGTCGGTTTCTGAGGTGCTACTGGACTGGAATCTAGATTATCCAGAGACACTGCAAAATCAGAATATTTCTTCTTTGTTACGTAAGCATGACTAACCCTTGAAACCCTTGGTCTCTTAGCTGTGTGCTATCATTTTTCTCTTTCTAAGGAGCTGCACATGAATCCACCTGACATTGTAGAGAGTATTTTGAAGACGCACGACACCACCAAGGTAGGAAGCTGCTTATATCGTTTCTCCTGTTCAACACAGGCCTGAAGCATCATCTGCTCTTTAAACTGGACTTTCATAGTTCAGATGAAAGCTTTGCCACAGAAGGCAGGTGGCAGGGTCATCCCATTATGAACATTTTATTGTATTATGTCCAAGCCAATTTTTAAGACCATGAGTTTTGACTTGCTGGCTCAGCTCTGCTAATTTCGGGGTTCCAGTTCCTTCAGTGGTCATATTCTGGGAAGCTAATTCCAAGGATGCTGTTGATGTTCTGATCTGGTGCTTGGAGTCAGTAATGGGCTGGATGAGGGTGAACAAGCCTGGACAAATCTGGGCATGGAACAGTGGTCACTGGGGGTGTAGGGGGGAGGTGTTTGTGAAATTCCTGCATTGTGCAGGGGGTTGGACTAGATTGACCCTGGAGATCCCTTCTAACTCTATGATTCTATTATTCTAATCCTGAAAGATAAGAAGTTCTCAATCTTTCAGGTAGACCAGGGACTCTGTCTTGGATGGGGTTATATTCTCTTTGAAAAGCCAGGTTCACAGCTTAAGAGTGCTGCTGGACACACGAGTTACCTTAGAAGACCTGTTGTGCCCCAGAGTGCTTTTGCCCAACTCCAACCAATGCATCAGCTGCGTCCATTTCTGGGTCAGTCAGATCTAACCGCACTGATCCGTGCCTTAGATACAACTAAACTGGACTGTTACAAGGGTAGGGGCTGTGGCTCAGGGGAAGAGCCTCTGCTCTGCGTGCAGAAGGTCCCAGGTTCAATCCCTGGTATCTCCAGTTAAAAGGTAGGTGATGTGAAAGTCCTCTGCCTGCGACGTTGGAGAGCCACCACCAGTCTGAGTCGGCAGTACTGACCTTGATGGACTGAGGGTCTAATTCAGTATAAGAAGCTTCATGTGTGTTCAGTGCACTGTAATTGGGGCTACCCTTGAAGAGTGTTCAGAAACACAGCTAGTGCAGAACGCTGTGGCTAGACTCCTGATTGGGGCCAGCTGTTGGGAGCATGTGATCACGCTATTACAGCAAGTACACTGGCTCCCGATCTGCTCCCAAGCCCAGATTGTTAGTTTTTACCTTTAACGCCCTGCATGGCTTGGGACCAGACCAGGGGGCACAGCGAGGGGTTTAATTAAGGAGTGTTTGACTTCATGGGCTCCCCCCTGTGGTCTGAAACACCAGGACGCTGGCTCACCAGCATCAGTGGGAACAAGGCTTTCAAGACCACACTTCAGCTTGTTCTCATGGCCGCTTATGAAATATGTTGTCCTTGAAAGTAAAGCAGACAGAACAGGCCCTGTGTTTGTGGCTCAGTTTACCTCAGAAAGGGGGGGGGCAGGACACGGAGTGGGGCTAGGTCCGTAGGGGGAATGAATCCATGAATGTAAAAGAGAAATTGAAATATGCGGAAAACGCTTGATGCAGAGCCTCACACTCTGCCTTCTGTCTGTCGTTCCTTCAGCTCGGCCACCTCACTCTGGAGGATTACCAGATCTGGAGTGTGAAGAGCGCTCTCGCCAATGAATTTTTAAATCTGCTTTTCCAGGTACGTTTCACACAGCCGGAAACCTCTGTTGTGCGACAGCTGTTCTGACCAGCGTTCCCTCTAAGCTGAGTTAGTGTGAGTTAACTCCCAGTTTTTTAGCCTCCGTTTCACACATTTTTGTCTTAGCCCAGGAAAGATGGCACCAGAGGAAACTAATTTACGCAGTAGCCAAATCGCTGGCTCACAATTTCAATGCCAGTGGCTCACAGAGTAGAAGTTTTGTTCACAAGACTCCACAGCTTAGAGGGAGCCTTGGTCCTGACCCTTCCCTGCACTTCCGCAGTTGTGGAATGCCAAGCCCCGCATTGGCTCTTGCGCCTGGCATGTTTCGGGGTCACTCCTGTTCCTCTGAAGCACAGACTTCAGAGAGATGCTTTTCCTTGCCTTTGTCAGGGTCCTAAGTCAGATCACACCACACAGGGCTTCATAAGAAGATAACTGCTTAATGATGAGTTCAGTACTAAAGAACACATGTACAGCTTGTGTCAGGAATGGCCGTCAATACAAGGGCCTCTGACTTATAGTGAAATCAAACATCCCCCCTGTAAGCATAAGCCAACGGATATATTTCGCGCGCGGGGGCGAAGCAAGTTGGCAAAGCAGAAAAGCCGTTAACTTTCCCAGCCGAGTAAATTGCAGCTGGAGCCTCTACAAGGTAATACATACGATAGCAAGCAGTTGATGAGCCCAAAAAAGCTGTGAAGCAAAGGAAAAGCACCCCTCCACATTCCAGGGCTATGACAGGGCTACCTGACAGCCTTGTGTGCAGCCCAAAGTCTAAAGCAAGACTCCTCCTCTTTGTTTGGGGTGGGAGGTGGGGGAATCTGTGCAGCAGGGCATGCACAAAAACCCAGTTATGACTGCTCTTAACTTCTATATTAGAAAACCTGTGTTCTGAATTTCAGCCCCTTTCCCAGAAGCAATGGAGGGAATCTTAACCAAGAGAGGGAGGAAGCAACATTTCCACCTGTGACTGACAGCCAAACTGTTGCTTAATCTGTGACCTGCTGTTTTCCCTGGCAGGTCTAGTCAATTGAGGGTGCACTGATGCCCTAATGAAATCAGTTGCCCATCTAGAGTTGCTGAGTGTTTAGCCATCTTGCTGCTGTAAAGCTGTGGTTGGCCAAAGCCCATTATGTCTAGCCTTGGCTTAATTCTCAGGTGTTGATCCAGAATGCACAGGCAAGGTTCCAGAAGCAGCTGCCCAGCTTGATCCCCAGACACACACCTGTGGTAATTGGGGAGGACAGGAGATGTGTTTAGAACGGATCCTGGGCTACATGCCACTGCCCACTAACCTGGCTCACAAGGAAAAGTGACAGTCACTTTTCAAGGAGCACCCTGTGTGCTTCGGAGGCAGCAAAATAGAGATGGTGCAGCCCAAGCATTACCCCAGAATCTAGGCCAGTGATGTTTAGTGGCCTGGGAGCCAACGTGTGATTCTTTGGCATGCCACATGTAGCTCTGCTGAACAATGTATTCCGTGGCACCTGCCCCATGTTTCAGGAAAGCTGGCAATTTCTTTAGGAACTGGAATGTCATCATTACTGCAGGCCCAAGATAAAACCATTTTGTTTTCAAACTACAGCACCACTTGCCCGTGATGATTGTAGCAAGGTTGTGCGGGTGCAGGGGTTTTCTGTTTGAGGCTGGATTAAAGCGTGCATCCGAATGAGGTGGTGGAACTGAGTCATACCACTGCTGAATGCTAGCCCATTAAAAAAACACAACTGCTGGTAGTGGGGAATGCTCTAGATGCTCAGTGGTACTCTGGGAATTTAAAGGGTTATAAGTATATAATACTGTTCATGTGTGCTTGGGGCAGGGAAGGGCATACAATGGTCAGTGGCTCTTTCAGTTGATGGGAATTCTGAATGTGGATCACTATGATCTTTGACGTGGTCTCTGTGCTTCACAGCCATGGGATCTAGTGCGCACGCGCTGGATCGATCGGCATTGTAGCAAGCTCTTTAACGGATTTTTGCGCCCAGTCCCTCCGGCATGCGCAGGAACCCCACCGCGCATGCCCAGAGGGGTGGGCGCAGACATCCCGCCAGTTCCTTTCTTACCGCCACGTTGGAAAGACCTCTTTCTTCGTCGGTCAGTTCGTGTGTTTTGGCTTTTTGTCTCACAGCTCTTTGGATTTTTTCCCTCAGTTCATTCCTTTTCTTTGTTTGTTCTTTCAAAAACTTTTTAAAAACCCCTTTATTTTCTACTGAGGGGGAGGTTGCCGCTTTACCTCAGTCGGGCCTTTGGGCTACACCCCCCCACCCCTTCTTTCTTCTTCACTTTTATGTTTATGGAGAAGAAGTGGGGCTTTTTTAATAGGTGCAAGGGTTGCGGTAGTAAACTTGCTCCTCCTGACCGTCATACCCTCTGCATTTTTTGTCTCGGAGAGTCTCATCGACCCGAATCCTGTTGCCACTGTGCTCGGTTTTTGAACCAGACCCGAAAAACCGAGCTGCACGCCTTAAAGTGGCACTGCTTGAATTGGCCCTACATCCTTCCTCGGCGATGGACACCGAGAACCCATCGACCTCAACGACTCCGGCATCAAGGCCTGCCTCTGATATCGGCCAACCGACGCTGAAGCCTCCGGCATCGAAGGCGCAATCCTCCGCTTCCACGCCGGTGAAAAAGAAGGCCAAACCAAGTAAGGAGCACAAGTCCGCAAAGAAGGGGTCCTCTTCTTTGCCTTAAGGCGGCAAAGAAGGGGAAGGTAGCAGTGTCTGCACTGGGTGATGCCCCTAAAGTGCTTCCCGCTCCAACCTTCTCCGTCTCTTTCCCCGTGGTCGACAGTATCGGAAGCTCCCGACATCGATCCACGTCGGCACCGATATGCTTCATGCGACACGCAGCGTCATCCTCCACGTCTGCACAGTCAATCTGTCGATATTGACAACTGAGACGGCGCGGACTGCATATTGATAACACTGTGGTGGCCGAGACAACCATGGTTCTCGACCGTTCTCGAATTGTCAACAGGAATATACCACCAATTCCCTCCGGCACAGGACCTCCTCTTCCTGTCCGACACCCCTCTCCTGCATCACAGTGTACCACGATTAAAATTGATAGCATGGAGAATAACGTCAAAGATTTTTTGACCCGCGTAGCAAACGTTCTGCTGAACGCCAGAAAACCTACTACACGAAGGTCCTACCATTATAAATGGCAAAGGTTCTGTTCTTCCCTTGGTGATGATGCCCCTCGAGCCATCTCCGCAGGTCTTGAGAAAGTTTTCCAATTCCTCCTATCCCTCGCTGACTCGGGACTTTCCCACTCATCGTTACATGTTTATTTGGCCGCCCTTTCGACCTACCATGTTCAAGTTGACGGATGCACACTGTTTTCCCATCCGCTTTCAAAACATTTTTAAAAGGTTTATTGCATCTCTACCCTCCTGTCAAAACTCCTGTCGTTCCCAGGGACCTTCCTCTAGTTCTTCGCCAGCTCATGAGGAAACCCTTTGAGCCACTCGCAACTTGCGACCTAAAATGTCTGTCGTGGAAGACGACCTTTCTGGTTGCTGTCACCTCTGCAAGGCGAGTTGGAGAAATACTGGCTTTCAGGCATGACACGCCATACTTGTCCTTTTTGCCAGACGGCGTACGCCTTGTACCTGACATCTCGTTCCTGCCAAAGGTAGTGTCAGAGTTCCACCTACAGGCAGAGGTCTTCCTCCCGGATTTCTTCCCATCCCCGAAATCCCCAGAGGAGAGGCTGTTACATACCTTAGATGTCAAGCGGGCGCTCCTGTTCTACCTCAACAGAACCCGCCCAATGAGACGTAACTCCCAACTGTTCATCTCCTATGC